TAGCTTTTCCTCACAGGAGATGTTCTCCATCCCTCTACTCATCTTGGTGTCTTGCTCTGGGTTTGCTCCAACAGGTCAATGCTGTTCCTATGCTGAGCATTCTGGAGCTGGATGCTTAAGAAGAATGACACAGGCATCTTGAACTACCTAAGAACCCATTTTCTTGTTCATATAGTGTCTAAAGATTCTCATACGCAGGCCATTCACACCCTAAACCACCCAAATTTCACACCTCAGTGCTTCTTCCATATACAGTACATCATCTTGCAGAACCCTTGTTCTCAGGAGAAGGTTCTGAGCTTTGCATCAACACGAAGTAGAACATGAGTGCTTGCAGCCTTCAGTCAAGTATAACATTTCTCTGGATACAACCCTATGCTCCTGTTTCCATCAGGTAGTTGTAAATAACCCACCTGCCGCACAATGGCTTTCAATGTACTTCTTTCTCCCTAAATTTTCTGTTGGAAAACTGCTTTCTGCTGTAGTAAGACACTTCTGATTTCCATTCCAGGGGATCAGGAAGCACTTTTGCATTTAACCTGCAGACAATGAAACCTTTCACTGGGCCAACCTCTTTCCCTATAAATCTTGTCAGTAAAGGAGAGGAACTCACTTGTCAGTATCGAAGCCTTCTACAGATACTTATGGGTAAATCTGGGCAGGTGTGGTGCAGTTTTGGGTTTCCTCCTGTAGGCCTGCAGCCATATGATTCTTTGCAGAAGACAGACAGAATATTTATAGCTATGCAATTATTGAATAAGCTGCAATGAGTCCTGGGGAAGCCTGTATGTAAAGGAATCCCTGCAGAAAAATATTATTTCATCTTGTTTTCATGTTAGTCCTCTTCATTGATAATCAAAGCAATTATATCTGCAGAAACATCCTGGCTATTCATTTACTTAGGAATGTTTTAATTTTCCTGCCATCAGTGGAGAACGTCAAAACTGTATTAAACCTGTTGATTTGCATTCATCTGCTTGACAAGATAAATTCAGTTTTTACAGAATATTTCCCATCAAACTTAATTAGCCCCCATGTAAATAACTGAAACAGATACAATCAGCCGTCATAATGAACGTATTTAACTCTATTCTTTCTCCACCTGGGGCAGCAAAGGCTGTTCAGTTCAAAGGACCAGGGATGTGACTTCATAAGACAATAAATCTATTTCTAACACTTTGATACATGATCAAAAATTCTGCAATCCTATGAAGTAAAGCACTGATATAGTTCATGGTTTTGTTTTAATCACTGTGCTGGTCACTTTGCTAATTTAAGCTTGTTCCAAAAAATGTGACTGGCTAATTTAATTCCAGGAGTTCAGCTAGTAGCCCTGCTCCTGCTGTTGGCATCCAAATGGAATTAGCTTCTATATGATTGTATGTGCCTACCTGACCTCAATCATCCTGAAACTCCGCGTGTCACCTACCTGGACTGGACTGGAGGAGCCAGCCAGACTGACATCACTGTGGCAGCTCTGCACAGAGGGGCAGTGAATCTAGCCAAAGAATTTTAAATGGACCATTTTGGCTTTTTCTTATAGATGCAGAACATGCAAGGGAAAAAAATTGTTGGTTTGGGTTTTTTTTTCATGAATGTGTATTTCAGGATATGTCTCTCAGAAATTTTGCTTTTAACATTCTGTAACTGGGGGGGAAAAAGGCTTTTAGAATAAATAACTTCTAGACTAGTAAAACAGATGGTGAAGAATTAGCATTGTAATCACATTACACACTTCTGATATTTTCAGAACATTTCACTTTCACAATTTGCATTTGTTTGCTGGTAT